CAACAGTGTGAAACATTTAGATAGGCAACAGAAAGATCAGTGTAAATCACACATTATCCCCTTAGTCACATAAAATAACCTTTTCTAATCTTGGCCGAGCAAAGCTTGGTGGCTTTAGCAGTAGGTTATGGTAAACTGAAGTAAATTACTAGGGTCTTGGTCTCTTTTGCTACCTGTAGCACATCAGCAGAGCAGGCACAGTAGCAGCTAAAGCAACACAAGATTTCCTCCTTCACCCCCTCTAAAAATCCATTATAAAAATACTATTTTGCCAATGACACTGCTCTACCAAGTTCATTTTACAATGCTCAAATACTAAGGGACCAACAATGATAGCATTGTTGGTCCCTCTCTAAGACTTAACATTCTTCCATCAACTTCAAAGAGCAGCTGTATTGGTGCCTTGCAAGGAAAAAAAAAAACCATCAGTTTTCTCTTTCTCCCCATAAGAATCCTATTTTCTTGAAAAAGGAAAAAAAATAAGAGTGAGACCAGCAACACTCTTCTCTCAAGAGTGCAAGGGAACAAGCACGTTAATACTTCATATGAATGCTACCAAAGTTAGTTACTTTACACTAATGTAAAATTCAGTAGAATGTAAAAATATGCTAATATAAACTCTGATAAACATTCTGTTATCTAGCTACACAGAATACTTTAAACACCAGAGGAAACACTTAAGAAAGCTTGCTCCCTATCCCAACTCTTGGTTCTCTACTACAGTAATTCTCCTTTCTGCTCCATTTCACATCCCTTGCCCTGCCCAGCAGCACAGATACTAAAGAAAAACACTGCCCAGGGTAAATTCTCTATTCCCCACACAGACAGCTGAGCTACACAGAGTGAGAAAAACACACACAATATTACTTAAACAACACAAATTCTATGATTGATATACTATGAGATTTCAATACTTGAGCCATGTGGGCTTTTTCCCTTCCCTCCTCTTGAGGGTTTAAGAGCTCCCACAAGATAGATCAGTAAGCCCTGATTGTTGCCTTCTCTGTTAGGAAAGTACATGAAGAAGAACTCTGAGACCCAAGGAAATAATTGGTGCCTTACTTTATCACTTCAGCAAACAGACAAGGAAAGCTGGGTGTCAGCAGGACATGTCAAATACTTGAAAATACAAGCGACCACATAGCTCCGAACTTAATCAAGCACTACCTCAAAGGAATTGTCTTAAGTGACCATACTAGGTGCCAATTCAAACACTTCATCTGATCAGGACAATGAATGACAATCCACGTATAAAATTAAGCTTTAGGGAAGTCCACTTCAATCAATCCTACAGAACCAGTCAATCACAGTATTAACCACAAATTCTTAACTGATGCCAGGAAATAGCCTCAATCTCACCACAGAATAGACCAGCACACAATAAGCCTTGCATCACTGAAACAACTCAGCTAGGATACAAGTAAAAGCCACCATGCAAGAAACCCCTTGCTGCAAGATCAGTCTCGCTGGGGAAAAGAAGCGCATTGACAAGAGAGAAGAAAGGAGAAGGACAAAGAGGATAATGCTTCTTACTTGACACACAGTCCTGCCAGGCCTCAGCACTGAGTTTTAAGTCTTTCTTTCCCTTTCAAAGAAGTTGGGACTTGGCACCCACCTGCCCTTTGCTCGAGGGCAGATACCGCTGCCACACCGGGGACCGAGAGTGGCAGCTGCAGCCCGGCCTCTCCGAGAGCAGTGAGGAAGGAGGAAGCCCCAGAGGACCTGTGGCGCCCCGGGTCACTTGAGGACACGTGTAAATGTCGGTTACGCAAATCAGAGAACGGTTTTCTGCCGAGCCCCACCCGCGCGGGAGCCGAGCGGAGCGGGGCGGCCGCCAGGCCCCGGGGCAGGCACAGGCTCGCTCCGGCGAACCGCGGGGAGGCGGGCAGGTGAGCGGCCCCGCTGCGGAGCGCCGCCGAGTGAAGGGGCGGCCGCCGCGCAGGCTCACCGGGCCGCCGGGCAGGGCGGCGGACAGCGCCGGGCGCCTCACAGGCCGGCACCCCCTTCCTTCCTTCCCTCCCGCAGGCGGAAGGGAGCACCCCGGCCCCTTACCGAGGCAAGAAAACCGGTGGACGGTCTCTCGGCGGCGGTGAGAGCCAATAGCGCTCTGCCCTCAGGAGAGCCCAGCTCCGCTCCGTCCCGCCCGCCGCTTCATGCCGGGGAGCGGGCACCTGTCCGCAGCGGCCGACCCTCGCTTACCTGGCCGCGCGGCTTGCCCGCCCTTCCGCCCAGCGCGGTGCAGTCACCAGCCCGCTAGCTTGCTCGCTCCGTCCGCGAGGGAGCCGGCAGCGCGGCGCGAGGTACCGGCTCCAACCGGCACTTCTCGGGTCCCGCCCCACCGCCACCGTCACGTTACCGGCCGCGCCAGCCAATGGGCCGCTGCCGGCGAAACCGCTGACAGGCCGCGGGGCGGGCGCTGCGGCGGACAACAGCGGCCCGCCCGGCACCGCTGCTGTGCCCCCAGTCAGACCGACAGCCCCCCGGTGAGGGTGGCGGCACTGGCACCGGCACCGGCACCGGCACCAGAACCTAACCAAACGGAGCCGCTCGGAAGCGGGGAGGAGGTGGAAGGCATGAGAAAGCCGCTACCGTCAGCGGTTACAAAGTACACACGAGGAAGGCGCAGCTGGCAACGAGGCTATCGAACCACGCGGAGGGCGCGCGGTTGGCTGCGCACCGGAGGCCTCGCCTGGGTGCGGACAGCGGGAGGGGAGGGGAAGCAGGCGGGGATGCTGCTGTCCGGCCGGGATGCTGGGCATGCCACCGCGCTGTTACCTGACGAATGAGCCGGCTCCCCTGCCGCGTCCCTGCATCTCTCCTGCAGCAATGGCCAGGAACATCCAACGTCCATGCCACACGAGTCTGTGTTCTGCACGGCAGGACCCTTCTACGGCTCTTCAGTTCCAGGGGAAACCTGATAATAAAATAATAATAATTTTAAAAGTTCACAAATATACACGACTTAAAACCCCCAATCATAGATCCATTTGACTTTCCTACTTCACTGCCTTTCTCCGCGGAGAGTGAAGTTCCCTCCTCCCCGTGCCCAAAGGGTTCTGCTGGATAAACGCATGAAAGCCCGAAGGGAAGTTGTGATCCCTACCTAGATTCCTGCTATTAACTGGGACAAATGGGCTGTGTCTGCCTCCTCTTACTCGTACAAACAGCTCAATCTACTCCAAGAATGTTCCTGCCACATTTTCATTATTAGCAACTCCATTGCAAGAATCTATTACAAATCCTATTTATAATATAATTATACTTCCTACACTCGCTCTGCTGAAGTGTTTGTTGTCTGTCTAGTCATCAGTTTAGTAGGGAAAAGAGCCTATGTTCAAACTACTGCTTTTCCTCCATAAAACACCAAAATCTTTTTCTTCACAGCTATACAAAACCCCTTTCACTTTAAGAGCACAGATTCTGCAAAACCAATGAACTGTATGCTGTACACTGAATAAAGTACAACTTAAAAAAGCCATTACAATATAATTCTGCACAACATAGAGGTGTGCGCTTGTTTTGAAACACAGGCATTACAGTGGAGCCAAAAGTGAAACCGATTACAAATGAAAGTGAAGCTGGCTTTTTAATCCAAACACATAGAAACACTAATGCCCACATGTATGTCTTAGTTTGCAGCCACAGTGGTAGCCTAGCAGAGAATTTGTTTGTTTTGTATTTGTTTTAAGCAGATAGTTTCTACCTGTGTGCAGCTTTGTTATGATCTACTCTGTGATGTCCTTTGATAGTGATCTAATCTCTGAGAAGCTGCTACTGCCATCACAGATGTGACAACAGCATGGCCCTGCCTGCAGCTACTGCTCCCGAAGTCCTTGACAAAGTTTGGCCAAAAGTGGACAGCCGGCCAGCAATCTTCCCAGGAGACCAATTTCCTTCTGTCCCATGACCTGCCACCTCTTCAGCTGACTGGGTCTTGACTTCCACCATCGAGACAAATCTTCTGCTCTATTAGGGCTTTCCTGAGGAATGAATTAATCGATTCTACATTACCGGAACTATCTCCCCTTTCTGTGAGCAAGATAAAAGTACATCTTACTCTATAGTCTTTCTTTCTACTAACTCAAAAATGAGAAGTCTGTATACAGGATCTGCCCCATTTTCTGTCAGCAACAGGCTAGGAAGAGACATTGTAAAACCAAGAAATATTTGTACTGAAGTTTGGCAGTAAGTCAGAACACCAAAGTTAATGATCAGAAAGCTCATAATTGCTTGAGCAAAAGATTGCAACCCAACCTTCTAGGTTTGGTTCTTACTTTGCTACTGAGTAGCTCCTGGGGAAGCACAAGGGGAACACTCAACTCACCAATCACACCCGACAAATCCCCAGGCAATGAGATCTGAGCAAACGGAATATTTTGTTAACTGCCTACACCGTTTTTAGCTGTGCAGCTCCTGACTTTGTACCCTGCAGATCAAATTCTTATTTAGGATTATTTTAGTGCAATTATTTTAGAATTCATTTCTTCCAGCCTTTTTCAAGCACCATTATCCATAAAATGTTCTTCAAGCTTTAACACCCTTTCTAATTGTTTGTCACAGCCATCTATGAGAAACTGAAAAACCACATCTTGACAACCCAGGGAAGGGCAAGTTTCATTTCACACAACATTCCATCCCCTGATCTTTTTTAACTTGATACTTAGAGATTACATAACCAGCTCAGAACCTTAAAAGAAGTAACAGTTTTCAGTATCATGCTCAGTGTAGCTAATGGGTGTCCTGAGCATTTTGGCTTTCATGATTTTGGGACATTTCATGAATCCTGTAGATTTAAGAGGGTAATATTTACAGTCAAAATTTGACTTTATTATTCCATTCTTTTTAATATCAGAGAGATTATTATACTTGACTTTTAACCTCTAGTAGTGCTTGAAGTTGCAGTAGCAACAGTATCTTGATCACAATTGCAGTGGTAGCAGTTACCTGAAGCTGAGCCAGTTCTTTGAGTGAAGCACCCTATGACAACTACCATGTGATCGTCTGTTTCTCAAGATCCTATCTTTTGATATGAAAGGCTACAGCTTTATTGCTAACTGAAGCATGAACCACAACCCTTTAACCTCTAAAATGCCATTTATTCTCCTAAAGAAAATAAAAAATATGTAAGTTTCATAGTTCTCTATAGAATTGCAATTTCAGCCCCTGCCACATCCTGATTATTATCACACTTGCTCTTTCTTGGCATTTTATAAAGCTTCTTTGTCTCCTTCTGGGACTTCATAAATCACATGTTACATACGCTCCAGATCATTGATTTCTTGGTGCAATAACGTGGCTCTTGCAGTTCATCACACAAAAGGCTCTCAAAGGGTATTTTAGGCCAACACTTCCCTCTGCTGGACCTGTGGGCAGTCACAGCTCTGCCTGCACTGGAGGGACCTGCCCAAATTCTCTGTCTCTAGCTCAGGCAAGACCCCTGCTCCTTCCAGACAGCTTTGGACAGTAAGAAGCTAGCAAAGAACTTCTTAATTTATCAGAGGACTATGATCATCATAAAAGTTTAATTCAGTTTCAAGTGGACAGGACTATCAACTTATTTTGTGCTTAAGACAGGAGTATCTCAAAGCTGTTGATAATGATAAAATTGAGAGTCTTAGGATCTCCCATTTCATATCCTCTCCAAAACCCTGACAAGCTGGCTCTTGAGCTCCACTACAGTTGCTCAGACAAGGCGATGCATCCTTGGCTGTATGTACTTCAGCAAAAAAGCATCAGGATCATAGGGTATTTCAAGAACACCACTGTAAATCATCCATCCTGCAAAACACAGGACATTTGAGATGAGAGCACATTCTTTCCCGTTCTCTGTACTGTGCTGCTACATATTTTCTGCATCTACCTTGAAGGGAGTGACTGCAAAGTGACAGCAGCATATTAATATTTTTGCTCATTAATGTGAAGGCAGCCTTAAAATCCCCCCAGAAATGTACAGTATGTAGGGCTGCAAGCATGAGCTCACTTTGCAGCAATGGATATATATATAGAGATCTATTGTCTGCAAAGACCTTCTCTACATAGCCTCTGCTGATTTTAATTGACAGCACTTAAATGTCAACTGGATCCTCATGCCAGATCAACAGGCATTTCTTTGTACAGCATGTATATAGGGCATCACAGAAAAAAAAAATTAGTATTTTTGAGAGAGAAATATTGGCTGCACTTTTTGTGATTCTAATGGTAACCAAGAATAGTGCTACAGTGAATTTTAATTGACTGCTACATTTCCCCTCTGGCTATCTGTTCCAAACTACTAGCAATAACCAGAGTATGACATTTTACAAGGGGAGGCTTGATGGAAACTACCAGATTCAGACAGCTGTCTTGTGTTCAAGCCATAGAGTTGTTGAAATACTGTCCACAACTGAGGGAGGGGGAGTGTTAAGAGGAAGGAGAGAGAGAATTACAGAGATAAATTGGTAGTTGTGCTTAGTTCTTGCTCTTCACAAGGACAGGAACTGGACCAGGTGATGATGTGCTCCTCACTGACTTGTACAAACACAACTGAAAAACTTAAGTGTTTTCCTGAATAATGATTCTGTTCACATGCTCTGCTGAATGAAGGCTGTTGGTGGACTTCCAAACACAGCAAGATGATGAGTAAGCTACACATGGGTGGAGTAGAAAATACAGATATAATCCTAAAACAATAATCCCAGTCAGAAAAACTCACTTTGAAAAGGGAGACAGAGATGTTCCACAGAAAACCTGTCAGAAGACTGGGTCAAAGTGGTACTCAGTGTTAAAACGTAGAACAGGTATCAGTGCTTAAAGCCATGCTGAGGTTAACTGGAATAAGCCTTCATTAGAAGATGGGAAACGGGTGATTACACAGAAGTTGGTTCCCAATTTGCATTCAGAACAAAGCCTGTGCTAAACACGCTGAAGGCCTAGTTAGAAAAGATCATATTTCTCTTGGGGGAAATAAAAAATTTTCTAAGTGTTTGGAAATACAAAGCTTGAATAAAGAAACCAGAATGTTATGATCACAGAGATCCTGAGTAACAGCAATAGGGAAAGGAAATAACCCCCCACCCCACCCCAATATACAGCATAAAGTGGCACAAGCAATGCTTTTCTAAGCAGGATATTTTCCAGTCACCACCTGTTTTTTCAATGCTGAAGAGTAAGGATTACTCTGTGCTTCATTTAAGTGGGACTGCATTCATGACTCCTGGTGATCCTTGCATCTTACTCTTATTGACTAATTGTGAAGTCTTTGTTTGAGACTTTCCAAGAAAACTTGTACATGGACTCCAAATAGACAGAGCAACTAAAGAGGAGTATTTGTCTCCCAAGAGCTTTCACCACAAAATAAGTGTTTGTTGGCTCTAGCAGCCCCACAGGCATTAATAGCTGACACATGACACTTAATGATGCATTACTAATAATTGATGTGTGGCTGCCAGAATGCTACTAACAACAACAACAACAACAACAACAAATCAGTGCTTTGGGATTCAAATATCATTCACTCCTGCTATTTACAAATGCTTTGACTCCACGGTACAGTTCTAGTATTGCAACTGCAAGTCATAAAAAATGCAATTAAGAATCCAGCACTTGAAACTCCACATCTCATATTTTTTTGCAGAAAATACAGGAAATACACTTCTGTGATTTCTTATGGAGATCCTGGTTTCTCCCAGGAGTCCTAGGTCTTTCTGTCCTTTACACTATCTTATTTTTTTGCATTTCACTCATTTTGCATAGAGGTGAAAGAAATTTACACCTAGTATTTCATCAATGCCAGCTTCTGTTTATTCAGCACTCTTGCAATTCTTGGATTTCTAGTCAGCTCAGCACTTGTCAGGAGACAACTTTTGCTTGCTGTGGAAGTTAACACATTAGAAATCAGAAGTCCTCTAGTAGAAAACTACTTACTTCGTTGTTTTTTTTTTTTAATCACTGTTGCTTTACTTGTTAAACCACAGACATGCAGCCTTGATTTCAACTGAGGCAGCTCAAGAGTGTCAACCCCATGCAATAATCTCCTGTTGTTGATTAGTCCCCAGGCAATTTTTCACCAGAAGCTGCTGCTCCCTCAGAACTGCAGTCTACTTTATGTGTGACATTGCTCCCCAGTTTGGTGCTACCAAAATGGACCTGAGCAGCTTAAACAATTTTGGTTGTAAGGTTTCTTTAATTAGCATCATTTTGAAAGGCCCAATTTGGATTCAACCAGTATATGCTCTATCCCGTATAACAATATAACCTGCCTTTACAACACTGCAGGATCTGCTGTGCACCTTGCAGACAGACGCTCAGGGAAGTTGTTAGAGCAGAAGATCAAAGGCAATTTATTTTTCTTTCAGTGCACTTTCATTCTGGACCTTTTTTATTCATTCCCTTCAGTCTTCTTTACTAATGTGTAGTTCGAGGTGGATCAGTGATTTACTTGAAATATTTATTCCCCATATCCCTCCAGAAAGTGCAAACATCAGTTATGACAATGGGTAGCCCCTCCAAGTAAAAATGTCACAGAATCACTTTCTGGTAGCTTGAAGAACCCATTATAAATCATGCTACTACTACATCTCAAACAGCAATTTGCCTTCTGTTTTCTAGAGAACACGCGAAAAATAAGACAAAACAGTCCGTTATACCAAAGTATCTCTACCCAGATTTAAATACAAAGAAGGCACCTCTGGAATCTTCCATTGTCATTGCCATCTTCATTATTAATGGCTTGATAGCACAGGGAAAAAAAGCCAATTTTGTCCACAAAACTTCACAGTGTAAAAATACCCAATTTTATGAAGAAGTCAAAGATAGAGAGACACCATTTAAAATCAGCCTTGTCAGTAAGAGCAATATCCAAATAAATGGATATTAAGTTGTTTATGGATACCGGTAAGAAATGCTGGAGTTATCTACCATCTGCTTCACTTTGCAGCTGCATTCAGTTTTCTTTGAGATATACAAAATGTATGAGGTCATTTAAAATCGGAGTGCTCTCAGCACCTGCTAAGATTCCATCTTTAGAGGCAATAAAGCCAGGATAATCTCAACTCCAGGATCAAACTAATTGGCTATGATGCCTTTTTAATAATGCTGCCAAGCATATACAGAAGCTAATATCTGATAAGCAAATTGTTACAGTGCAGCCTACCAGGCAGAGAAAAGTCATCATTTTTGAATGAGAATCAAAGTAAATAATAAATGTCTACAGCACAGCCTGATATGAGGAGTTCCTTGGCGCATATTTGGGATGTTTAATCATAAAAAAATGTAGTTAGACATGAGTCACACAGCTCACCCCAAATGACTGGGAATGCATTTGTTTTAATACTGTGTGTAATATAGGAAATTCTCACTGAAGCATTTCCAGCTTCCTGGACTCCCCTGATGCAATTCAGTGTTAGCCACACAGTGTGAGAGCAGTCAGATAACCACATCTTCCTCCCCAGTCTAGATGCTGGCTGGACTCAACTTTTAGGAATAAAGTTAGGCCTGCAAGATACCTGGGTTGTAATTTTTCATCTCTCTTAGCACACATTATATTTAAAATGGCACACTAATTTCTCAGAAAGTCCCTTTAATAAATATTTGTAAAAGACAAGTTTCATACTATTTTTCTTGAACACAGGCACAACACTGCACACTGTGACACAGCAGCATGGCAATAGGTAAGGATGGACTCTCCTTCCTGGGAGACTCTGAATTACTCACAGCTATGAGGTGTGTGTGTCCTGCCTAACAGGACACAGAACTGCTGCAGACATCAGCACATATTTCTGTGCTTCTGCTTGAAAAGCAGAATTGTTAGCCCAGAATAGCTTTTGAGCAAGAAAAGGAACAGAGGATACTAACAAGAGGAACTGTGAGCAAAGGGATTCTCTCATCTGCTGTCCAGTTGCTTTTGTAATCAGACAAACAGGCTTTCATCCATTTCTTGTTAGTAAGCAAGACTCTTTCAAAGACTTAAATGCCCCATCAGTAATTCTTTTGCATCTTGACAAAAAAATCGTTGGGGTTCTAAATTATTATAAAAAGGAAATGGCAACACATATGTGCCTTTAGAACTGCCACGTGTAAGGTTTTATTTTTATGGCTTGCATAATACCACTTTGGAAAGCACTGGCTGTATTCCAAGGGAAAGCTGATCTAAATTCAATGGTTTTCATCTCTACTTTGATTTGACCAAAATACAGGTTCATTACTGCAGCTAGGGTAGAAAACTCCAATGCACAAAACACAGTTGAAGCCAGGCTGATTTTCTATGGGCTTTTAATAGTGTGATTTGTGCATTCAAGTTCTGCCAAATAATTTCCTCCTCTTTGAACGAACTGCTTCTCACTAATCTGAAGTGTATAAATTCCTGACTACCATTCCTACTTCACAAATAAGATGAAGCTGGGTTATACAAAAATAAATTAGCCTAAAAATGCATTAATTCTTACTTCTAATGAATGAGAATGTGTTAAGCAGTTAGACCAGGCACGAATGACCCTCATCAAAAATTCCAGACACATTACTGTGCACTTACAAAATGTGTGAGATGCTTCTGAATTGAAAGTCAGTATGAGATACTTGGGGGGCTTAGAAAAAAACAGAAAAAATTAACGCAGGTTCTAGTAAAATTACTTGATTTAAATATGGAAATAAATATTACTTTAAAGCATGATAGGTAAATGCCTACATTTATTACTTTAGCTGAGTCCTGGGATTCAGGACTGATTTAATTTTATGAGAACTGTTGAATGCTGAATTCAAAAGACTTGAGTTAAATGTTTTTAATCATTAGGCTCAGACTTCAGTGTTCCTGTTTTCCCTGCTGTGCCATCTGGAAAATCTTTTTTAAGTTAGCAATCTTGAAACACAACTTTTGGCCCTTCACATTGGGGCAAGGTAGAACTGCTCAGTCAGTTTCTCTAACAGTGTTGAGACAGGCCTCCTTCAAGAACTTCTGATTGACTGATAATCAAAGTGAGTCCTTAAAGCACAAAAGGTCATTAAAGAAATTGTCAATTTTGGGGAAGAACTTGAATACAAGGATACTGAGCATTACTGGTAGAAAATTCACTACAATTTTCACAGTGGTCCATCACCACAGTGGACTTTGATTGTTGTCTAAGTTGGGCCTGTGTATGTTTTTTGTATTACTTCAGTTGAAATTTAGACCAAAACTACTGCAACAGGTGCCACAGAACTATAACTAAAAGAGCAGACAACACTGCGTTTGCCATGCTAGTTAAACTGCAGTGGATCCTATTAACTCATGTACTCATAACATTCTGTTTTACCAACAGGAATTACATAATCAGGTGTCCTGCAAGAGATTAAATGTCAGAGCCCGCTGGGGCAGACGAGACTTTCAAAGCTCCTTTGTTCTTGACTGTCTCAGCTGATCTGGTAAACACTGAGCATCACTTGATAGGGTAAGGGCTCAAACAGTGCTTGTTCCATCAGCTGAAGATGACTCAGCAGTATCTTAACAGCATCCCTTCAGCTATCTGTATCCCAGACCTGGAGTAGTGATGTGCAGAAGCCAGGAAAATATAACGCTGCATGGATTTCACCATGATGTCTGCTTTGTACACGATATTCTATGAAAAATAGGGCATCAATGCGACGAACCGAAGGCTAAGGTTTCTTTCTTTCTCTTTTTTTCCCCTCCTTTTGAACCGCCTTATACCATGAAAGGTTCGGGATCTGCTGCCCTCCGGTGGATGCTTGGAGAGGTCCTCTCTGCCTACAAAAGCACTGCGGTTGAGGCTTGGGCGTTCTCAAAAAGCATGACAGATAAAAGGCATATGAAGTGTTATTTTCTTCCTATTTAGGATCAAACATAACAGCTGAGACTAATTTCTTAATTTCGATACTTGTTCTGGCTTTGTCAGAGTATTTCTACACCCAAGCTGGTTCTCTTCAATCAGCGCTCTGTCATTTTACATTCATATAAATATACATAAGCACAATACATATGGCAATGATATGCAAGTATGTACCTGTTACTTTTGATAATATCCAAATCAATCTCTTTGTGATTATTGACACTTTAGACCTCTTTCTAGCATTAACATCTAAAAAAAAACAATGCCTTTTTTTCCCATTGGCTTGTGCAGTTCTTTTCAATGTATTTATCTGTACTACTGGACATTTGAGACCAAGAAATGCATTTGACACGCCATGCCACGCCAGCCCTCTGTGAAAACCTGATTTATGAGGTTGTTTAAGTTCTGCCTGTTAAGATCACAGTGCTCCTTAGCACACAAAATCATTTGGAGTTGTACAACCTTTCTTAAAGCTCTGTACGTGTTAAGGCAAACCAGTTTTGCAGATTTATAAACCCGGCAAAAATAGGTTGCAAAAGCATTGCAAATGTATGTATATTTCTAACTGAATAATCAACTTTAGTGATGACGAGGTGCTGATTAAAGGGACCTTTTTCACTGACAAATGCCCTAAGTCTGTTTGTCCTGGTTGTGAAGGGGATCCTTAGAAATGCAACTTCTGTGACTACGTGGAATACCTTAAGAAACCTGGAAAATCCCATTCTTTTCCTGATAAGGGTTTAACTTAGGTACAAGAGTATTGTAGATGATTTGGACACTCCATTTCGTCCAGAAACACAACCTGGTAACTAGTTAGCCCAGCTTACCTCGAATTTGGAAGATGCTATCTATACGTGTGTTTGCAGTTACATATCAAGATGCATTTGAGCATGAAGAGATCAGAAAAATCATTAAATCAAGTTCTGACAGAAAGAACCCTCCCCCCAGCACTTAACAACGGGGAGACGTTTAAGACGGCCAGCCAAACTGCTCTACCTTACTTTGAGCAGCACCTCTCCACCCGCAACGCATAGCTGCGACACCTTCACTCACTGCCACCTCAGTGCCCACCTCGGCACAAAGACAAGCGTCGTGCTTTGACGGATCGCCTCCCCCTCAGAAGCGCCATGCAGCTTTACCCTCCCTTCGGCCTCTCGTGGCCGGGAGAACGATGGGGAAAGGGGCAGAGGTTCTCTGAGCCCCCAGCGCAGCCATTTCCCTCAGGGCGGCGGCGGGAAGAAAGACGCCCCCACTCCCCTCAGGACAGCGGCGGCAGCACCAGCCCCAAGCTCCGCCCCGGCGCCTCCGGACTGCTGTGGAAGGGGGAGGCGGCGCCGGGCGGTGAGTTGTGGCGGCCTGGGTGCTGCCTTCCGGGCTGAGGGCCCACGGGGGAAGTGGCTGAGGGTCGGGCTGGGTCTCTGCGTCCCGCAGCGCAGAGGCGTGGTCGTGTTTTTGGCCCTCAGGGCGGCCTGTAACTAGTGGGCCGGGTGAACGTGGAGAGCTGACATGGAGGGCCTGTGGGACAGAGTGGGGGGTGTTGCTGGTGTCCGGCAGTTCATGGCTTTCCGGGCTTCGTGCTGCAAACGGGGATGGCCCAGGTGGAAATAACGGTGGGCAGAGGGCGTCGGTGAAAGCATAAGCGCAACAGAGTAGTTAAACGGCAAAGCTGCTGTATGAGGCGCAAAAGCAAGGAAAAAATCCCACAACCTCGTCCATCTTGTGCTGTGTCATAAAGTTTACTTTTCCATGCTTGGTTATCTCTATTCCAAGTATATTGTGGAGGAAGAAATGAGAAATATTGACTACTACAACAAAGCCTTCATATAGAGTTTTTAATATGAACACACAGCTTCCCAACAGTTCTCTTGGTTTGAAATGCCACTTGTTACCTTTAGATGGTAGAAGAGTGAGCTTTGGAGAGGCCTCGGTGGGGTGGCACCCTTTATTTTTCTGAAGGTTCCATCCTCTGGGCAGGTACAAAGAGGCATTCTTTCAAAGGCTTCACAAGGCAAGATACAAAATTCTCCAGATTTGCATTTGCAACTGATATTAAACACAATGCAGACATAGTAGGGATTATATTAACATTATTGTGATGGCTGATGGGGTTGTGGTGTTTCTAGTGACATTTGTCACTAAGTCTGAATAGAAAAATACTTGTTACATGGAAAACCACAGCAGTTCAAGGGGTCTGACCATATGGCAAGTTTAAAGGTGTTTTTATAGAGGTTCTGTAACTAAAGCTCAGAAATGGGGGTGGCAGCATTTGGCTTTGTGTTTCAAAGGGGAAGGAATTCATTACAAGCATGTATTGTTCCATAACATGCCCCAGTGGCACAGCGGCATCTGAAGTCAGGGTGTGTGGGACCAGGACGCCGGGCAGTGTGAAGGGAGCAGAACAGCCTGCAATGCAGAGGTTGTGTGTGTGCTGGACTGGTTGTAAAGCACTGCACGAGCCAAGTGATTGTTAGTACATAGGTGTATTCATAATGTTTCCATGACAAAGCCCAACTGTATCTTCCAGTCAAGTTTAAGTCACCAAATCTGAGTTTAAACTGGATTAGCAGTCAGAACGTGTCTTCCAGACCCACTAAAAAGCATTTACTGTGTTGATCTTGCTGGTAGCTTGCCTTGCTTCCTAAAAAAATAGGAAGCTGCTGGAGTAGCTTCCCAATGTTTCTTTGTGTTATTCTCCTCCCCCCCCCCCCACCCCCCCCCCAACAAGTTCATTTTCCTGTTTTCTTTATGACTGTGTAAGCCTGAATTCCAGGAGGAGTGACTCCTGGGTAGAGCATGAATGCTTCAGAGCACTGAAAATTAGAATGGGATGAAAAGTATTTCTAGCTGTTAATTTCTGAGTTTAACAGACATGACTTGGCCAAAAAGCCAGTGCCTGGCTCCAAGACTGAAAGAGACATAAATAAGACAAAGAAAGGAAAAAAACCCACCACTTTTTCATTTCCCTCAAGCACCAGTGCATTTTCTGTGTTTGAATAACCTTATTTAGGAGTTTAAACAGGGTTTGCAGTACCTCTGTTGCCGTTTAGCACTGTGTAATTTTCCTGAGCTGGAAGAAACTTTCCATCTTGATGAGAAAAACTTACCTTAGGACATTATAAAACGGCTCATTGGTGTCTTACACATACTTGATCATTGCTGAAACACATGCAGAGGTAACAGTTAAGTGCACTCTCATCCTAAAGGTGACAGTAAATAATTCTCTTGAGCCTGTGGTATGTAATAACATGTCATATACACTTATAGTGGGAATGTGTATGTTTGGGGAAAGAAAAAAAAGAGTAGGTCTTGTCGCTTTTGAGATCAGTGTGGGGGAGTATTGGGTTATATTGAGGAGGCCTTTCCCTTTCCTTCCCAGGGTAGCTTAAATGGAAGTCTTCAGGGTTGCAGAAGATAGAAAGCAAAAAAGTCATTAAAGTACTTTGCAGGAGGCTTTCCAGTTTAATGGCCAGTAGTCTTCGTTTCTGAGTGCTCTTGAGTTTTTCAGCATCTGCTGGAAAAGTGTCACAAAGATTGAAATCTAGTGGAACAAGGGATACATGCAGGTGCCTTGACTTCCCTTACTGAGGCTGTTCAGCAAAGTACTGTTTCCATAGTGTCCCTCATAAAGTTTTTGCAATTTCTATGTTTCTGTGGTGTTAAAGTAGAATATAATTTTTTACTTGAGGTGTTTCAAGTACTCGTAGAGATTGACTACACCGCAGTGATACAGGCTATATATCACTGTGCTGTGTTGTGGTTTTGTATGATTGCCTTGTGGTGAATGGTGGCCTTTCAAATACCACACTGTCTTTCAGTGCAACATGGCTAGAAATATTTACAACTGTTAATAATTTTTCCCACAAAAGTTGAAAGTTAGTTTTGCATTTAAGGTTTTCAAGGTCTTTATTTAATTTTGCTGCTTCTCGGTACAAAATTAAACTGGCAAAGATATGCACATTTGTCCCTCTGTGCTAACTACTGCAGGCATTGGCTGTGCAAGAGCAGTCCTATCTCTGGCCTGACCCTGGCAGAACAGCACTGTTGTTACAGTCACATTTTAAGGTAGTCTGTTGCGTAAGTTGTTTTTGTAAGCATGCGCTGAGAGAGGAGTAGAGGCCTTCACAATCTGTCTGATTTTGTGCAGTTGTTATCAAAGATTATGTCCAGTGTGCTAAGTTCTGTTATTAAAAGTAACTTAAAATGTATGCACAGGTAGTTTTAAACAGATATATTCCTTTTGTCTCTTTCAGATTATCTACTGACTAGTGCCAAAGATTTAATTGCTTTTTGCTAGTCCTCAGGCCAGCAGAATTGGGGGAATTACCAGTGTTCTCTTGCAAAAGTGCCAATGAATTGTATACTTGCAGATTGCTCAGTGCAGTGGGATTACGCTGCTACTATTGAGGGTCCAATTGAGTCAGCTACAACTCAATACTGTGTGAGGAAGACCTTAATTTCAGAATTGAGACTGAGTTTCTCGCACTGGAATAAGTGAAAGGCAAAATCAACATACTTTTAAAACTTCACTCATTTAATGAGGCATCCTTATAATGGGGGTTTTGGGTTGACCTTTTCTATTAGCTTTCATTAAAAGCATAAAGAACAGTTTCTCATTGGTCTAAATCCATTCTTCATGAAAAAAAAATATTTTACTTTGATATTGGATTACTTTCTCTACTTCTGTCTGCAAGGCTTGCATGGTATTGTTTTAACAAGGAATGGCATTCCTTTGTTTCTAATACAAGTAATATAGTTTTTCCTTTTTTGTTGTCATCCTCCTTCCAGGTAGCAAAGTCTAGGGGGAAGCAGAGGTTGTCTATTCTTTACTGAATGAACTATAGAAAACAAAGTTAATTTTACTGCTGTGGCGACTGTACTTCTGACATAGGTCTGTGGTTACATGTTTTTCTCCATCAAAATGACTGAAATGTGTAAATGTCATCAATATGTGTAGAAATACTTTCTGGAAGTGGTTGCTTGAAGTGTCAGGTCTTACTTCTTTTTATAATTACTGATTAACAGGGCACATTTTCTTTGGTCAGTGAATGATCTTTTATAGCACACAGAATGTCCTTTCTAGATAGCTGTTTTCTGCCGAGGAGGAGATTTGATGTTTGCCAAGTCACTGTGGCAAAACTTAGTATAGTTACGTAAAGTGTGTAGGCCTGTCTCTCTAGTGTGACTGATGATCTTAATTATCTCTGTTTCAGAATGCTTGATTTGAAACACTTGACACCAGTTTTAAAGCTGTGTGGCTTTTTAAAAGTTGGGCTCCTTTTCTATTCTGTTTGAATTGGCAATTGTAATAGCAATTTTTGTTACACATACACGTTTTAACAACAATTCTAACAGAGACTTTAAACCTTGAATTGCATTTAATCTTAATAGTCATTCAAGGAAGAGAAGATCAGTGCTGTCAGACAGAGGAAACCTTCCCTCTGGGTGGCATTTAGAAATGTTTCGCAGTCCTGTCAGTTAAAAAGTCTGATCTTCTAGACATACAAATGTGATTAGGTAATAATTTACTAGAACTTATTTCAGTGAAACAAAATCACTGAAGGGAAGAGAAGGGAATCTTATCTTTTAAAACTGCTTAGTGAGGTGTAGAAACTTATTCCTTCAATCTGCAAGTTTTTTTTCAGGTCATTTATTATGCAGGCATGCTTCTTCCTTCACGAAGCTTCTGTTGCCTTGGCATTAGAACATACCAACTCCAAACAGATTTGTTTTCCAGATCCTTCAAACTTTCAGCCTCTGCAGTAAGTATTCCTTCAGCTTCATAGAAGAAAATATTCTGCACTATATTTTAGAGATGCAGTAATTTTGCAATGTTACCAATATATGCATTAGCTGTCTTTATCTCTTGTTACACTGATCCAGACATTTAATATCAAGAACAAAATAAGATATTTGAATCAGTCAAATATTTAACACACTAGCATAACAGAATTTGGTGATTATTGCTTTGTGTGCCTTTTTCAGTCTTTGAAGACACATCTAGCGTCTATCAGGCCAGAAAGATTGCCTAGTTAGGGCACTAGAGCTCACGACACAGGAGACAGGTTAAATCCCAGCTTTATCAGACGCTTTTGGTAAGACAGGTTATTTCTTTGTAACTCATTTTTCCTTTAATGAAATGAGAATAGTGGTGCTTCTTGACAGTGCAAGAACAAG